AAGTCGAGAAACTTTAGAACATAGATATGTCTTTTGGTACTAAATATGAAGCTGAAGTGCTTTTTTTTTTATGNAGGATAATGTAAGTCGAGAAACTTTAGAACATAGATATGTCTTTTGGTACTAAATATGAAGCTGAAGTGCTTTTTTTTTTATGAAATATGAAGCTGAAGTGCTTTAATAGCTTACGAGACATCTCTGATTATTCAATATTGCTTTTTTTAAGAAGTGCCGTCAATGGTCAAACAATGAAAAAACATGTACAAATTTACTTCACAATTAATATTATTTAAAAAGAAAAATGGTTTTAATTATTCATTATTGGAGACTTTGATTAAGCTTTTCAATTTTATTTAATTAAAATATTTCATCTTTTGTTCGAGATTTGGTGATATTTGCATAAAGGAGTTGGGGAGAAAATGGTGAAAATTCCTTCATCAAAAAGGATAAGGGACCTCGTTGTAGTAGTTGATTTCCTTTTCAAAATCAATAAGGGGTAATTTTGTGAATCTTAATAAAAAAAGGGTAGTTTTGTGAATAAAAATTGTTGATAAGGATATGTAGCTCCTTTCCCTACAACAGGAAAACTGCTTTTGTTGCTGCTCAAATAGTTTGGCCAAACAAACTATACAACAACAACAAACCCAGTGTAATCCCACAAGTGAGGTATGGGGAGGATAGTGTGTACGTAGGCCTTATCCCTACCTTGTGAAGGTAGAGTGACTGTTTTCGATAGACCCTCGGCTCAATTCCAATAAATATTTTTTGTAAATTTTGTGCCTCCATGCAGTCTCATGCAGGCAAAACCCAATAATATAATCCATTAGAGTTTGTGCCTCACTGTAGGCAAAATCATCTCTGAAAAATCTGTGATTTATATGCATGGAATGGTTCTTTTTGTATTTATATTTGTCCCTCCTCATATATAATAATCTGTTTCCTGGTGCACTTCTTCAGGATGGACGAATTGATTATGGAGAATTTGTTGCTATGATGCAAAAAGGAAATCCGTGTGGTGTAGGGAGACGAACAATGCGAAATAGTCTGAATTTGAGCATGAGAGATGCACCGGGAGCCCATTAGCTTCTCAGACAGACACATCTCTGGTAGGTATGTTCCTGCCATCTTTTTGAAGTAACCCATTTGGTGGATGCGCAAAACTTGTGACAATTAGGAACTTATACCACATAATAATGAAGGTGCATCATATTACTGCTTGCCTTGTGTTTGGTGAACTTATGAAAAATCTTTAAATGTTCTTTTCTACTTAAGAAATGAATTGGACAGGCATGTACTCATTTTACCTTTAGGGTTCTTTTAACTTTTGGATTTAAATCTTTTCTTCCACCAATGATTTTGTCGTCTTCAGCAAAATTAAGTTTGTGCACTATGGTTATACTGTCCTACATAAATTTGCAAAAGGATTGGGTAGATATTTGGGGTTGAGACCTGAAAGAAGAAGAAGCGTTAGTGGGGAATTTCTTATTGACTTAATTGATTAACAATGCAACAGGGGCTGGTTTTATGCTATTTGCAATGGCTCTCTCATATTGAGAAATTCTGTCTAGTGGCATTTGATCACAGAATCCATGGTTGGCTGCATAAATGTCTGGAACTTGTTTTTCAATTGGCAGTGTTGCATATTGTGGTTGTTTTGTTACTTCTGTCAGCCTTGCACCTCCTTTGATAATGCTTGAGTCACTGCATCAAGGTCTGATATAGGAGTTCCTAGGGCCAAGGTTTGACAGCTCTTTGGTTCGGTTATTCACTATATTGTAGTGGAAGTTGCCAAGGAAATTTGATTGAACCTTTGAAGTTCTGTAAGGTGTACGTTTTAATATGGTGTGCTTCCTAATTACGAGATTATACTGTTCCCAGTATCCCAATTTGGATATTCAATTGAAGTGACCACGATTCTGATCAGTATTGTTAGACCTATGGTTTGTTTAGTTGGCTTCGAACAGTCACCATGTGGAGCTCATAATTGGACAGGGAGAAGAGAAGGTATGGAAAGTGGGTAGAAATCAGCTAGTGGGGAGAGTGTAGTGGGATGTATCTTGATGTTTCATTTTGAGACTGGAGAACAAATGACACAGTTCAGACCAGGAATAGTGCAATATGAGGCAAAAAAGGGCAGCCCAGTGCACGGAGCATCCCGCGTTTACGCAGGGTCCGGAGAAGGGCCACAACCTAATGGGGTGTAATGTAGGCAGCCTACTCTAATGCAATATGAGAATACATGAATTAAAGGAAGATACAGTGAGGATGGGACTTTAGGGCTGAGATTGGCTTTCTTTCTTTCATCTTAGGCGAGACTACCCCAAAAAATGTTGTGATTTATCAGGAGCTTAACCGCATTTTGGGACTGACTCAGGCTTGTAGGTGGCTTCGGTAGATGTGGAAAAGAACAGTTGCTCCAATTTCAAGAGTGTAAAAGAAGAGTGATGAGAACTTTTCAGTAGATCAGTTAATCAACTATGGTTCAATCTCAAACTAGTTGGGGTCGGCTATATGGATTCTATATATCGATCTGCTATATTCACCCTCTTATCGAAAAGGAAAAATTTATTGGTTCTTCTCTCGGTAGATGATGATTTGAAATGTAACATCCTGTATCATCCAGATTTCCAACTTAACATGCTTGGTGGAGCATCCATGAGGTATGAGTGAGAATTTGAGAATAGAACCCGTGTGGTGGTCTAGGTTTCTACAGAGTTTATATTATTGGAGGCATCAGAAAACTCGGTGTCTTGGAGAACAGTTATGTTTGATCTTGAATAAAACTGCTTCTAGGCTTATGCGCATATACTGTGCTATCATGTCAGAAATACATTGGATGCAGCAAATTGGTATTTTGAGCTGTAGATTCAGTTTTCTTAGATTGCAGCTTTTCTTATGCATTTGAATGTTTTCTTTAATAAAGACATCTTCAATATTTTCTTAGCCAGTTTCCAAAAAAAGATCGAGTATTTGTGAAAAGCCCTCTTGTATTCTACCTCAAAATTGATAGAATTGATAGGTTTACAGGTTTCAATTAGAGCAAAATTTCCCGCGCTTCTTTGAGCCCTGATTGAATTGTTGAGATCTAAGTCCATTTGGCCTTTACAAGAAGCAATGAACAATTATCTCCTTCTTGGGAGAACTACATAATATTAACTTTCTTAGTTCTCCTAAAAGAAGTACTGAATATTAAGTCATGTATTTCTTTGGGTTCTACCACGGACAACTCTTCTTCTCTTAGGTAATTTTTTGAAGATTTTGAAAAAGATGCTTTTATGGATATCTGGACTTGATTGAATTTTGTAGAACATGTTGCATTGCAAATAAAATGAAGATTGGTGTTGATCATGTATTCTGTAAAAGAAGATTCAAATTTCTGGTACTGGCTAGTTCGCAGGTTGTGTACAGAGAAGAGACCAGAGGCAATAAACTTTCATGATAACATGGTGTCCCCTATAACATCCAGTACCTTCGAGTTTGAGTAGAAGAAGATGAGTCAATGACTGTCGGACTGCTATTTGCCTCCACGAATTTTTGTGAGATTTATAGTCGTTAGTGTGTGAAAATGATCCAACTAATGTGTATTTTAGTTGATGAGTTTCATTCTTGCTTCAAATTATTAAACTAGGTTTTTTTTCTTATATATCTTATTCCGTGAATGATTTTCGCCCTTTGTGTAATTTATGTTATTTATTTTGAGGCTTGTTTATAGTAATACTGGAATCTGTATGTTGTTCTTTATGGGAGAATTTTTAATTTGTTCAAGGTAGGCGTATTCTTTGGTATAAAGAACTAATAGAGAAGTCCTTAGCAAAGAATAATTGTGCCACAAGACTTGCATCAATAGCAAGTTGAAATCGGCTATATGATTGTCGCTCGTGAATAAAATCATGTTGATCATACAATTATATATTTCCTATTATGTCGCCTTTTTTAAGTTCATCTCGGACCAATACTATACAGAGAATGGTTGCCACTCATGAGTAAAACTATGTTGAAAATGCGCATATACAATTAAATGAATTCTGGGAAAGGACAATTGAACAGTAACTGGTGCCTACTCTGCGGATGCAGCACTTTCACATGCTATAGCAATTTCCTGAAGAAAAACAAAATTAAGTGTCAGATCGAGCAAGTCATTGGAATTTATGGTCCATTTCAATTAAAGAAAAAGATTTGTTAATACACTATTCAGTGGAGCAAATCTATTCAAAATATAACCTCTCAGAGCATGGTTTTCAACAGAGGCCTTTGCCAATAGAAAATAGAGAACAAAAAGCAGGCTGATTCTGTAGAATCAGAGGCGCCTGGTCTTTCCTCTAATAAATTTCACAAATAGGCATAAGATGTGGTGACGGACTTGAATTATATTCAGATTAATATGCCATCATAAAATATCAACCAGTATAAGCGAAAACCGAGACTGAGAATAAATAAGCAAAAAATTTCCTTATTAGGAGAAACAATAAGAAAGCTACTTGCCTTCAACTTCCCATCATCAGAGAATATGCATTTGGATGTCATGGCACGTCCCTTGTCGAACAGCCAGCCAACTTCGCAGCAAGTTTCGCCACCTGCAATGTCTTTCAAACAACACCAGAGTTGCCTCGGGAGCAAAACAAGATCTAATTCATCTCTTATTGTCTTCCTGCTGCTGCCATCGACAAGCTCTTGAACTTTCTGGCAGTGTAATTCAGAACTCTCCATTACTTATTCCTTCTGATGCTGACATGCTAACATGCTATTAATTATTTAACACAGACATTGCAAGTTATTTTTCCAACATTACTAGTTCCTAGCAAGCAAGTCCAATTGCAGTAGATTGAAAGTATGAAACTGCTACAACTAAATTAGAAACGGGGTAAGCTGAATAGTCAAGTCAATAAGATGCTGTTTGTGCACTATTCAATTTGTCGATTTTTACTTTTCTATACGGTCAAAACCGAGTTTGCCATTCGTGTAATTAGTCAAGATTGGAACATGATGGACCGAGGGTCGTCATTATAATATCGAGATGTGATGTGAAGCCGGGTTATCGAGCTCAAGATTCAAGGACCGATCAATACCGAGCTCGAGTCAATATCGAGCTATGATGTGAAGTTGTGTTATCGAACTCAAGATCCAGAGTCCGATCAATACCGAGCTCGAGTCAATATCGAGTTCGAGACCCAGAGACCGACCAAGATCAAGCCAAGAGACAAAGAGTCGTAACCGCACTAGGGGAGAGAATCACGGCGGGAATCAAGGAAAAGCTAATTAACTAATCTATCATGGGATCCCCACTATGTATTTTTAATTATATCCAAAGTAGGATTCTTCCACTATATTAAGAGTGGTTATCATTCATTCAGGCGGACAGACTCACTCCTTCACAGAGATCCAGACATTCATGCACTACATTTCAGAGATTATTGAGATTTACACACATATAGTAAATATTATCCTTTTTTGGACTTCAGACATTGGTTCATCTTGTTTATTTATAAATCACTCTCTACTCAATTTGGGTTTGTATTTATTCCTTTTTTTACAGTCAATATTTGATATATTTTTACTTATTTTTTCAATTTGTACCAAGTTATATCACGTATCCTTAGAACTACGTATAAATTCAACTATATCCATTTTTCGGGTAAACAGTTTGGCGCCCACCGTGAGGCTAAGGATAACAGTGGTTATTTGGTACGAATCTCTGCAAAACACACCATTTTACACTTGCTCTTGGAAGTGTCTTTGATTTCAGGTTAAAAATGACGAACTCTCAATTAATGGCCCTACCTATCGACAACGAAGTTGGCCTTCAAGATGAGAACAACAACCTCACGATCGGGGATGAAAGGCCACTCGTTGATCCCGTTGGAGCTCGGGCCGTAGATCCCATTGACGTTAATTCACATGTGGCCATCGAGGCGAACCAACGTTCCGACCCCGAAACAACATTCATGGTGGAACTCGATCTGCAGTTCGAAATACCCAAAATATTGGAGAAGACGGGATCAGCCTGCGTATGATTTTCGAAATGTTGCAAGCTCAACAGGTAGCAATAGCTTAGTTGCAGAGCCAAACCCATGCACCGAGCAGGGCCGAGCCCGGTCCACCCCGAGAAGTCACCCGCGAAACGGGGCCTGTTGTAGTAAGATCAAATAAACAAAAGTCGGGGACTAATCCCGAAATTGTTAGGATGCTCGAGGAACTGACAAAACAAATTGAGTCAGGAGAAAAGAGGATTAAAGCAAACGACAAAAAAGTAAAAACTTATAACTCCAGGGTTGATCAGATCCCGGAGGCACCACCGGTATTGAAGGGCTTAGATTCCAAAAAATTCGTACAAAAGCCTTTCCCCCGAGCGCGGCTCCCAAACCGATCCCCAAGAAGTTCCGCATGCCCGAAATTCCTAAATATAATGGGACGATCGACCCCAACGAACATGTCACCTCTTACACATGTGCCATTAAAGGGAACGATCTAGAAGACGACGAGATCGAATCCGTATTATTGAAGAAGTTCAGGGAAACTCTGTCAAATGGGGCAATGGTATGGTATCATAATTTACCGCCTAACTCTATCGATTCTTTTGCTATGCTTGCAGATTCTTTCGTAAAAGCACATGCCAGAACCATAAAGGTCGAAACCAGGAAGTCGGACCTTTTCAAGGTAAGGCAAAAAGATAACGAGATGCTAAGAGAGTTCGTATCTCGTTTTCAAATGGAACGAATGGATCTACCACCGGTCACGGACGATTGGGTTGTTCAAGCTTTCACTCAAGGACAGAACGAACGAAGCTCGATGGCTTCACGACAGTTGAAGCAGAATTTGATAGAATACCCTGCCACTACATGGGCCGATATGCACAATCGGTATCAATCGAAAATCAGAGTCGAAGATAGTCAGTTCGGAGCCCCTTCGGAGTCTATTTATCCAGCCGGGAACCTCGAAAGAACCAAGAGAGACACCGATCGCGAGCCAGGGTCAAGCAGGGATCGATATCGGCCATATAATGAAGATCGGAGGAGCAGCGGACCCGGTCGGAACTATATGAGAAACGAGAGAAGAAATGATCAAGGTCGAAATAATCAGGGGTCATGACCAAAAACGACTTCGATAGGCCCATCAGGCCTAAAGAAGCACCGAGGCTATCGGGCCAAGCAAATGGAATGTAACTCACCTAAAAGCGATACTATTGCTGAGGTACGACCCCCATTCATTTCTCTTTTTGATGCTTCAAAACTAACAATTGTAGGTAACGAGGCGGCATCGGATCGTGCTAACTTAGAACAGCGGTTCGGTGTTGAATGTTGTGTCATCAGTATCTTAGGCTACTCTATCTGATCAACCTCGAATATTGGGGGGCGTCACCCTCGGATATCAGCTGCAGCAAAGAAAATGATTCGTGTTAAAAGGTACTCGAGAAGACAAGATTATTGTATGGGCCAAACGGTCAAATGAACCGTGCCCGCGTAGATTGCTCAAGCCTTAAGCATAAAACATGTACGCATGTAAGATTATGTCACACAATAATGAAAAGAAGTCCCTCCAAGAATTTATTGCATCCGATTTCTATGGATATATCGAGCCCAAGGGCAACTTTACTTCGAGTTCGGGATATCATTCTAACTCGACTACAAAGCCCAAGGGCTATCTTGATTCAAGTTTAAAACCATTACCCCAATCAAGGATTACACACCAAGCCTAAGGGCTACTTTTAATTCGAGTTCGAGAAATCATTCTCACTCGACCATAAAGCCTAAGGGCTACCTTAATTCGAGTTCGAGAAATCATTCTCACTCGAACATAAAGCCTAAGGGCTGTTTTTTACTTCGAGTTCGAGCAAACCCTCACTCGACTACAAAGCCTAAGGGCTACCTTAATTCGAGTTCGAGAAATCATTCTCACTCGACCATAAAGCCTAAGGGCTACCTTAATTCGAGTTCGAGCACACACTCACTCGACCATAATAGCTTAAGGGTTGTTTTTTACTTCGAGTTCGAGCCACTCACTCGACCATAAAGCCTAAGGGTTGTTCTTTCTTCGAGGTTAAGCAAACACTCACTCGACTTTAAAGCCTAAGGGCTACTTTTACTTCGAGTTCGAGCAAACACTCACTCGACCATAAAGCCTAAGGGCTGTTCTTTCTTCGAGTTCGAGCAAACACTCACTCGACCATAAAGCCTATGGGCTGTTTTTTACTTCGAGTTCGAGCAAACACTCACTCGACCATAAAGCCTAAGGGCTGTTCTTTCTTCGAGTTCGAGCAAACACTCACTCGACCATAAAGCCTAAGGGCTGTTCTTTCTTCGAGTTCGAGCAAACACTCACTCGACCTTAAAGCCTAAGGGCCACTTTTACTTCGAGTTCGAGAAATCATTCTCACTCGACTACAAAGCCCAAGGGCTACTTTTACTTCGAGGCCCAAGGGCTACCTTATTTCGAGTTTGAGCAAATCCTCACTCGACCTTAAAGCCTAAGGGCTACTTTTACTTCGAGTTCGAGCAAATCCTCACTCGACCATAAAGCCTAAGGGTTGTTTTTTACTTCGAGTTCGAGCAAACCCTCACTCGACTATAAAGCCTAAGGGCTACCTTAATTCGAGTTCGAGCAAATACTTACTCGACCATAAAGCCTAAGGGCTACCTTAATTCGAGTTCGAGCAAACACTTACTCGACCATAAAGCCTAAGGGCTACCTTAATTCGAGTTCGAGCAAACACTTACTCGACCATAAAGCCTAAGGGCTGTTCTTTCTTCGAGTTCGAGCAAACACTCACT